TCCATTCATATGTGATGTTAATACGATTTGTACCATAGTTAGGTGTAATTTCTTTAAAAAGTGTGGATTTTCTGTACATCATAACCCAAACTTTTCTATAACTTCGCCCATCGAGTCGGGACAAAAGAACTATAAAATGCACATTCAATCATCCGGGCTTGTTATACCAAATTCAGGAGAGGAAAAAAATAGTAAAAATTATCAGTTGTAGACAGCATTATGTAATAAGTATTATTATCCTTCAGAATTATACAGTCAATCTGATTGGTTTAGAGCAGGTCACGTGCAGGTAGACAACTCGTGATGTCTCCCTCACGCGCAGGGAGACAACTGTTATCTCCCTTCAGATGACAATGAAATAGCGTAAGCGATCATGCAGGGTTACAACTGTGTTGTCGCCCTTTGAATAGAACTACAGTGGTTTAAGCGAGATAACTCCTATTTATAAGTACAATGGCTAAATATGCGGGATCGGTAAACAATAAATTCTAACGATGACGTCAAAGTTGTCTGTTGACATATTTCGAAAGTATGGAATCGGAGCAGAGTAGAAGAAATTAAGAGGTTTGATTACTAATTTCTACTCTATCTAATTAATAATTGTATATATTCTTCAGGATAATAAAACTATTATGGACTGTTTAGACTGAAGAAATCACCAGTTATTCAGGTCTGAGTAGGGTTGTCACCCTCGGGCGCAAGCGCCCTCGAGTGACAACCCTACTCAGACCTGATAACTGGTGATGTCTCCCTTCTAAACAGTCCATAATTGTATAATAGATAAACTATACAATTTTGACTGTTTTGTGGTGTATTGTAAATTATACCATGGTTTGGGTTTCACGACCCTGGGTTTAACCTCACGAGACGAAACGGACATTAACACTTTGACTTTAGTTTAAAAATGAAAAAAAAAAGAAAACTTAAAAAATCGCTTGATTTTTTAAAACATTTTTTTAAGTAGTGTCATGATCAGGGTGAAGTTAGCTTAGTAGATTCCAATATCGTTCTTTTGAAAACCAACAAAGAAAACACAGTGAACACATGACGTAAAATCAAAAGTATACAATACTGTAAAATAAAGTTTTCGATTGCGGATCAAGCCGCGGATCAAGATCTAATTTTCATAAAATTGAAATGTACATAAATCCTTAACAAACATTTCAATCAACGTACCACTGTGCACAAAAAGTATGTATCGGGTTTACAAAAATTTAAGTTAATCTAAGTTCATACTCATTTAAATTTGATTTTGACGTTTGAAATTTACGAGAAAAAAATATATCAAATCAACATATCTCATTGAAACCAAACGCGTTAACTTTTCAATTACATAAATCAGACAAACGTTTTAAACGGACTTAGATATGTAGTAGTTACCCCATATAATACTGTTGGTTATGTAGTAGTTGCCCCATATAGTACTGTTGATTATGTAGTAGTTGCCCCATATAATACTGTTGGTTATGTAGTAGTTGCCCCATTTAATACTGTTGGTTATGTAGTAGTTACCCCATATAACTACTACATATCAAAGTCCGTTTAAAACGTTTGTCTGATTTATGTAATGGACTTAGATACGTGCAGATACCCGATGGGTGTCTTCATAATGACAACTCTGGAGCTACGCTCCCTCGTGTCATTATGGCCACGCCCATCGGGTATCTGCACATATTCCGGTGAGCTTGAAATAAAAGATAGTACAGAGTCTGACACATCTACTATATATTTTTGATATTTTACGCCAAAAAGACAAAGTAATCTAACAACCAAGCTCTATGATAAACTTGGTGAACTTTTCAATCCTCAACTTCCCCTACTTATGAGTAATAAAACTTCATCACTTGCATATATACAGGGTTTATATCTCTCAGATGATTTAATACGCGAGAGTATGCTCAATGCAAGAACAAGTTCTTAAAGGAGGTAAATTATTGACAAACAAGTTGATGAAAGAAGAATATTAGTAGTTTCGTTTAAAGTCATCATTTCGTTATAAGTTCTATGGTCGATAGAGTGACCTTGACACCTTGTCAGCAAATACAATTCACTTTTAAGTCGAATGCTGACTGACATTTTTCATACGAATTGTAAGGCCATTATATACAGACTAAATTGTCCATGGATTTTTCTGTTATTTCCCGATCATGATAAGGATCACATGGCGGGTGTGAACGGTCGGCAGGGAAAGCTCACTCCTTCCTGGCGCCTGATCCCACCTCTAATGTTTTTTGGAGGGCCGTGATTGCTCTGCTCCAATTTTATATTGTTTAATTAATGGATTTTTGAGCTTGCATACTGTTCGTTATCTCCATATGTTTCACTGTAGCTTGAAAACAACTTAAATTCTACATTTCAGTGCAGACAGAACTGCAGAATTCAAAGTGCACCGAATTAATTAGAAAATGTGAATAGATGTATACTTAGTATATTAGTAACCTATGAATATGGATGTAAATGAACAAAAAATATTTTCAAACTTTGCTCTCTCCTTAGAGCATCAGTCCTGGTTTGGTGCAGACTAACTTTGCCTACAACTTAATGGGGAAGGAGGGAGGAGAAGAGTGTTATAAATCAAGACAAGTGAGTAGTGAAATTGTGTCCCAGTAATGGAAGATTCGGGGGTATATAGGTTTTAACCCTGTATATAACCCTGTCCACTGTCCGTAAGTCTGTCTGTCCATAAAAACTTGAACCTTGCCCTTAACTTTTGAATGGGTTGAGCTATGGCTTTCATCTTTCACAGGTGCAATCCTTGAGACAAGACCTTCATTTGGGTGCCACCAAATTTGACCTCTTGACCTTGGTGTTTGACAAACTCTAACAAAAAATTTTGACATTGACCGTAGGAGTCTGGCTTGCATTTTACAAACTTCAACCTTTGCCATAGCTGCCATATGGGGGGAATCAGTGTTTTACAAACACATCTTTTTATGTTTTAGGATTTCTGATCTGCTTCACTCCTCACACACTTTAGGATGTCGGATCCTCTACATTCCTCACACACTTTAGGATTTCTGATCTGCTTCACTCCTCACACACTTTAGGATTTATGATCCTCTACATTCCTCACACACTTTAGGATTTCTGATCTGCTTCACTCCTCACACACTTTAGGATTTCTGATCTGCTTATTCTTCACACACTTTAGGATTTCTGATCTGCTACACTCCTCACACACTTTAGGATTTCAGACCTCCTTCACTCCTCACACACTTTAGGATTTCTGATCCTCTACATTCCTCACACACTTTAGGATGTCTGATCCTCTACATTCCTCACACACTTTAGGGTTTCTGATCTGCTTCACTCCTCACAAACTTTAGGATTTCTGATCTGCTTCACTCCTCACACACTTTAGGATTTCTGATCTGCTTCACTCCTCACAAACTTTAGGATGTCTGATCCTCTACATTCCTCACACACTTTAGGGTTTCTGATCTGCTTCACTCCTCACAAACTTTAGGATTTCTGATCTGCTTCACTCCTCACACACTTTAGGGTTTCTGATCTGCTTCACTCCTCACAAACTATAGGATTTCTGATCCTCTACATTCCTCACACTTTAGGATTTCTGATCCTCTACATTCCTCACACTTTAGGATTTCTGATCTGCTTCACTCCTCACACACTTTAGGATTTCAGATCTTCTTCACTCCTCACACTTTAGAATTTCTGATCCTCTACATTCCTCACACTTTAGGATTTCTGATCTGCTTCACTCCTCACACACTTTAGGATTTCAGATCTTCTTCACTCCTCACACTTTAGAATTTCTGATCCTCCACATTCCTCACACACTTTAGGATGTCTGATCCTCTACATTCCTCACACACTTTAGGGTTTCTGATCTGCTTCACTCCTCACACACTTTAGGATTTCTGATCTGCTTCACTCCTCACACACTTTAGGATTTCTGACCTTCTTCACTCCTCACACACTTTAGGATTTCTGATCCTCTACATTCCTCACACACTTTAGGGTTTCTGATCTGCTTCACTCCTCACACACTTTAGGATTTCAGACCTTCTTCACTCCTCACAAACTTTAGGATTTCTGATCCTCTACACTCCTCACACACTCTAGGATTTCTGATCCTCTACATTCCTCACACTTTAGGATTTCTGACCTTCTTCACTCCTCATACACTTTAGGATTTCTGATCTGCTACACTCCTCACACACTTTAGGATTTCTGATCTGCTTCACTCCTCACACACTTTAGGACTTCTGATCTTCCTCATTCCTCACACACTTTAGAGTATCTGATCCTCACTCCTCACACACTTTAGGATTTCTGATCTGCTACACTCCTCACACACTTTAGGATTTCTGATCTGCTACACTCCTCACACACTTTAGGATTTCTGATCTGCTACACTCCTCACACACTTTAGGATTTCTGATCTGCTTCACTCCTCACACACTTTAGGATTTCTGATCTGCTTCACTCCTCACACACTTTAGGATTTCTGATCTACACTCCTCAAACACTTTAGGATTTCTGATCTGCTACACTCCTCAAACACTTTAGGATTTCTGATCTGCTACACTCCTTACACACTTTGAGATTTCTGATCTGCTACACTCCTTACACACTTTAGGATTTCAGATCTGCTTCACTCCTCACACACTTTAGGACTTATGAACTGCTACATTCCTCAACCTCTATGTACCAAATCAAATATTTTAAAGAAAATCATGAATTTGTTTGAAACACTTAGTTCACAAACTAAATTTAACACATTTTACACAATAGGAATTTTTTTTTAGTAATTCTTGTTTACCAATCTTCTTATGAAATTAGATTAAATACAGATTCCGTTTATTTACAATTGAAGGCTCTGAAGCCCGAGGACATGGCAAAATCTGTGGAGTTTGTTCTGGCTACACCCCCACATGTTCAGGTAATTACATAAACACCCCTACATGTTCAGGTAAACACGTATATCTCAATATACATGTATTCAGGGAAATACAAGTAAAGAGAAAAACTAGTACTTTGTCAATCATCATATTTATTATATAATTATGTTATTTAATTTCTCTCATGAGCTCAAGATTCTAATAATTTCCTTTATGTACACACATAACAACTTTTGACAAAGATTTCAAACCTTCTGCCTCCAATATCCGTAACATTACACTGTGAATTAATGACATTGTGGCATTACAGGTCAGCGAGATGATGATCCGACCAACAGAACAAGTAGTGTGAATGTCAAGACTGACAACTCTGTATGAACTATACAACAAATACCTGTACCTCTCACAGCAAATTAATAAAATCAATTAAATTACCTTTTCTTTCATTTTAACTTATTCTTAATTCATTATTACCTCTAACATGAATTTAATTTCTTATTTAATTTTATTCCATTAAAAAATATGCATACATCTACATCTTTACTAGCACATTTACATCAGATCTCTTCAACAAAGACAAATTGCAATAAAAATGTCAGAAAAATTTCAACAACTTTTACCAAAATATAGAGAAAAAAATAAAATGACAACAGTGAACCTAATTCATCCCAGACAGTAATAAAATTGTAAAGCTATGTTCATCCTTCTCCCTATAATAAATCCCCTAATTTCATTATTTTACATGCAAACAGAATTTAAAAACATGATTTAATCGCTGATGACTAGTCTTGTCGGTAATAAATACTAGCAGAGAAAATAAAGGATTAAACATTTACACAATATACATAATTTATGTACAAATTAATGAAACCATCACATAAAAACAAAGGGCTTGTATCAATATCAACAACATATTTATAAATGGTTTAAATCTACAGCGGCTGTAAAAGGATAAATATAAAAAAAAGATCAGCAGAAACGTGGGACGTAACCAGTGCATATAAAATCACAAAAATTTCCTTAAAATGTAAAATAAATATATCACAATCTGAATTCTTGGGGTTGAAACTCAAATATTTATGAAAATTTCTTTTTTTCAATATGGATATTTGATATGTTCAAATTTATCTAAAAATAACAAATTTTCATTGAAAATTGTCAATAAGACTGGTAACATATACTTTATGTATAGGTACAATTTTGATAAATATCTAACTGAATTCTAAGTCAAATTAATTCATAACAAAACCATAAAAATTATCCATAAAACCAGAAGCAAAAACAAACAAAACAAAGACGACTGGAAGATTTGTGTCTCGGACAGGAGTTATGGTCCTTGGGCAGGAAAATGGAAGAGGTCAATGACTAAGATTATTTATTGCATAGAGAGAGTATCAGGAGCCCTGCTGCTGTTGGTAGGCACTGTGTTGGGTGACGGCCATCCTCTTGGTCTGCATTTCCACGGGAATGATTTGGTGGGTGGGGGTGACAGTGGTGGCTACAGAGTAGGCCAGGGTGCTGGTCTGTATGGGGACCATGGTGGGCAGGTGCTGCCCCTCCTGCTGCATTGTCATCTGAGATATCACCGCTCCCTGGGCGTTAGTCGGCAGGTTCTCTAGGAATCTCAGTGTCTCCATATAGCCCAGTAAAGTAGAAAATGTCTGAGGAGGTGCATTACCTTGCCTATTCACATCAGTTGTCTGTAGTACGGTAGGACGTGCTGTCATGTCATTTCGTGATGCTGGGGTCTGTACGAACTCGGTTTGTAGAACCCCATTTGTCCTGGTCAGATCAATGTTTTCAGTTTTGGCTATCTGAATGTGTTGCTGAGGCTGCTGTTGCTGCTGCTGAGGTTGCTGACTGGCTACTGGTATGTATGTCTGTATGTTTGGCTGGTGGTCTATGGTTCTATATTCAGCAGGTGTTGAGGACACAATGTTCTGTTGAGGTTGATGTCGAATTATAGCTTCTACATATCTATTCTCTGTCACTGGCATCTGGTTTTGTATAGCAACATGTTGCACATTTTGGATAGCAGCAACTTGCAGAGGTTGCTGCTGTTGCTGGGGTTGTTGAGGTTGCTGCTGAGTCTGTTGTTGTGTTTGTAATGTTCCCATATTAGGCATAGCAATGACAGTCTGGTTTCCAGCATTTTCAAACATTTGAAGTGGTACTGGTATTTCTGAAGCGAATGCCTGTAACTGTTGATAATTCACTGGCTGGGAAGTGACTAGGAGATTCTGTTCATCGCGAGGAATCTGAAGACCCACCATGGACACATTTGCAGTGGTGTACTGTGGTTTTTCCTTCCGTTCGCCTCGTGGTGCACGAGGTCTACTGTTGTTATTATCACCTGTATGGGAGGATCGTAGATGCCTTGTTAGGTGATCTTTCCTCCCGAATCTCTGTGGACAGTACTGACACAGGAAATCCTTTTTCTTCGTATGCGTGATCATGTGTCGCCGAACATCTTTCCTTGTATAAAACGTTTTTCCACAGTCATCACACGCATGTGTTTTTTCAGTACAGTTTTTCACAGACCTTGCTCCACTATGAACCTTAAGATGGTACAACAATTCATCCTTAGACTCGTACTGCTTATGACAAATGCCACATTCAGTGGTTCGCCCTGCATCTGCATCATGAAAGGCTTTGTGGGTACGGTAGGAGAAGTTGTAGCAGTATTCCTTCCCACACTCCTCACACACCCAGCGCTTCTTGTTTGGATCATGTGTCACCATGTGATTCTTCAAATGGTCTTTTCTATTAAATGATTTGTCACAGTATAAACATTTATGGGATCTTGGACAAGTATGAATGAGTCTATGTCTCTCCAGCTTGAACTTGGACATGAATCCCTTTTGGCACTCAGGCACTTCACATATATAGGGTTTAACCCCCGTGTGTTCAGAAACATGTATCACAAATAAGGCTTCTTTAGTGAACGTTTCTTCGCAGTGGGGACAGGCCATTGGTTCTCTCTTTGGTGTTCGGGTAATTTTGGGAGCACCTGGGACCCTCTTCTTTCTGCCTCTTCTTCTCGGTAACACAGGGATGTCATCCTCCTCATCATCTTCTCCTAGGACTTCATCCAGCAACTCCAGAGCGGACACTTCGTGATCGTCCTTGTCTATCGGATCATCATCCACCAGTTCTGGAGGATTGTCCAATACTTCCTGTAAATTGTTTTCCTCCAGAGGTGCATCTGAGACAGAGATCTTCACTTCCTTTGCAGGTCTAGGGACGGTCAACATCCCCTTTAGTTTTGGGGGTCTCCCTCGTTTCCGTGGCGGTAACCTACTTTTCTCCAACCTGGCTCTCCATGTTTTGGACGGTTTGACGTACTTTCTAGGTCTCCCCTTCCTTGGCCTCCCTCTCAACTGCCGTTTATCAGCTGGGGGTTCCCCTGCACAGTTATGAGCCTCCAGGTCACTGAAGGTATTGAAGCCTTCCAAACACACAGAGCATGCCCACTTTGAAGGGTAACCTATAAATAAAGTCAGAAACTGTCAGAAAACAAATGTACAATACTGAAGTGTTCTTGTCAATTCAGTTCTTTTTACACACTGGATTCTTTGTTTTGTATGATCTCTGAACAGCTGATATACACCTTTGAGATAAATTGATTCACATACCAGTGGCAGGGTTAGGTGGACCCTCTAACTCAGGAAGAAGTTCTTTCTGCACTAATTTGGCATACTCTGCTTCATACCAAACCCTTATTTCTGTGTTGGAGGGAATGGGCTACAATTAACACAGTAAAACTTGGTTATTGCGAAGTCCTGGGGACCTGTGAATTTAATTCACTATATCCGTAATTTGTTATATCCGTATAACGAATTCGTATAACCATTATAGCGAATTCGCACTATGCATGTTTTTCTTCAAGTATTACTACCAACTATGTTAGTGAAGCAAATATTACAAGACATATCTTCAATAACTTAGGTTTTCTTATGAATTGAATTTTATATACAAATGAAAAAGGAAATAAAGTAAGTTCAATTTATCATTTTTTTTATAATCTTTGATAGTTCGTTATAAAAGATGTAAATTTCATTATTTTTAACCTCAACGGGACTCAAAATCAGTTCGCTATATCCGTAAATTTGTTATATCAGAGTTCGTTATAACCGTAAAATTTTACAAAGATTTGTTAAGAATTTTGCCGGGGACTCAGAAAATCTTCGCTCTATCCGTGAATTCGCTATATCTGTGTTCGTACTAAACGAGTTTTACTGTATACACGTTATCAATTTAAAACAAAACTACCAGCAAAGTTATTTAGGATGTATCTATATACAGTGTTTAGATATGTTCTTTCTGCACTAATTTGGCATACTCTGCTTCATACCAAACCCTTATTTCTGTGTTGGAGGGAATGGGCTACAATAAATAATACCACATTTGCTAAATTATCAATTTAAAACAAAACTACAAGCAAAGTTATTTAGAGATGTATCTATATACAGTGTTTATGTATATGTACTATGTACTGGGGATATGATATGTACTATGTATGATATATAGCTTAGTAGAAACAAAGAAGATTTGGTTTTGGTGCTGAAAGACCACCACATTTTGTTCAGTAATGTTTATGTTTGATATATACCTTGGTAGAAACAAGGAAGATTTGGTTTTGCTGCTGACAGACCACCATGTTTTGTTCAGTTATGTTTATGTATTGTATATACCTTGGTAGAAACAAAGAAGATTTGGTTTTGGTGCTGACAGACCACTACGTTTTGTTCGGCAGCAGTTCTGGCAGGCCTCACAAACATCATCCAGTTACATTTATCTTCATCAGACAAGTCCAGCTCATCTTCATAACCATCATCATGGAAGACCTGCCAATAATAAAATCAGTTTAAATTGAACCTTTTGACAAGAAGGATAACTCAAAGGGTGAACAACAACTTCTTGATTATTTGGTCAGTGGAAAGGGCCAATTACGTCAGAAATTATGCTTATATTGTGTTTATTTTAATAAAAAATTTGACTTCTTTTTGAAAATCATTGATGATGAAGATAAAAATTTTATATGATTGAATAAAAAAATTATGGACCCTATGCAATAACTTTAGGTGTACAGACAAATAACTTTACACAAGAAGTATTAATACATGTATACCTTAACAACAAAAGGTTGATCAGCAGGATTGGGTTTTAAGCTTTCTTCCTCCTTTATGGACTGGTCTGGTGTAGAGGATACCTCACTGATCATATCATTAACAACCCCCTGTAAAGCATTCTTAACTACACCAACAACCTGAGCTTCTGAAGTCTGAGCCAGCAGCTGGGGCTCGGTCACAACACTGTTTAGTATGTCCTGTTGGTTTGTCATCATGGCTCCACTACTAGTCACAGAGGGGAAACTAGATGAGTCCATGTGAGCCAGCAGGCTCTGGGCCTGAGTGGCAGTTAGAGTCAGTCCCTCCGTCACACTGGGGTTTATTGTCGACTCGATCGGCACCGTCAGACTGAGGTCGTCCCCGATCTGACTGGCTGTAAACTGTCCGGTGCCCGCCATCGTCTCGCTGGCTAGTGAAGTAGCGAGGTGGATGGTCTCTGCCAGTGTCGTACTGGCATCTCCGAATGGACCCGGAGCGTGATGGTCGTCTGACAGTTTGACAATGCCCAGAGCCTGCTGGACAATGTCCTGGTGCTCCACGTTATTGCGGTCAATGGCCACTTCCTGTATACTGCGATTGACGCTCTGTAACATCTGATCAGTAGTGGACAGAGATAACTTGTCCCCCTGCTGTCCCACTGATACCTGGCTATGTACTGAGCTAGGTGGCAGTGCAGTGTTCAGTGGATTATTAGAAGGACCGTCTGTATGGCCATCAACATTAGCAGGCTGTCGAGGGGCTTCAGACCTTGTACGGTTTTTAACTGGAGCAAGCATGGGTCCAAATCTTGTCCTAACTTGGACGATTTTCTTGGCAAAAACTCCAGAAGCTTTAAAAAAAACAATCATTCAAATTTACTATTCTTTTTATTATTAATTATATTAGCTCTATATTATATCAGTTTTCAGTTTTCAATACACTAGAATACTTGTGCTAGTCTTCAGAGTCTGTCAATTACTGTGCATGAATTAAAGAAATACAATGTCTATACAAGAAATACAAAACGGCTTGAAAATGTACTTCTGAAAATAAACATGCAAACAATTGTCAATTTTGAATATTTCATTATTTAACAATTTGTTAAGCAGCTCCTGGTTTCTATCTAACTTTTTAGTGTAACCATCAACATGTCATTTGTCACGTAACTGGCTGTTGCTAGCAAAGTGAATTTCATATATGTCAAAAAACAGATTGAAGATCTTGATTTGGCAACAAAATTAAATTGTACATAAATAAGATGGGTGTATTTGGCGTGTGATCTGCAGGAATCATTTGTACGAAACATTTATGGTTTAAATGTCCATGATTTGGTTGGTTGACCATAGCTGGTCAGAGTTTACAAACACAACCATAGGTTTTTTTTTCATTTAGTTTGAAATACCATGTCAGATTGTGACATTTACGACCGTTTTTCCTAGGAGGTACAATAATATAGTAAAGTTTCACGACAAAAATAAACACCTGTTAGATAAAAGCATCTAGGTGACATCAAAGATTTAGGTAGAATAGAAGATTGGAATTGATTTCGCTCTCGGTACAACTGAACCAAAACTTATCTAATTCAAAATTTTAATAAATCAGTACATAAAATGAAACTGACAAAATAATTTATTGTTTGCAAGAAAAAAAATTAATGCCCCATGCAAGGCTGGAACCAAAAACTTTTCACTTCTTGTGCACTGAACAGGTAGTTCATAGTACTGAGCTATCAAAGCTATACAAATACAGGGGATTTTAAAAGGACAAAGAAGCACAGCATTTACACAGTTGGATTTTTTGGGGGAAAAGTTCATTTTTTATGGTCTCTCGGTCTTCTCTCCATTTTTTACAAATGAATATTCGTTTCTTTGAATTTAAATGCACACAAATAATGTTTCAAAATCATGGAGAGAAGACCCAGAGGTATAAAATTTTAGAAAAACGTGTTTGAAAATGTACAATTTTGTACCAAATGTCAAATCTACCCAATTTTCAAGTTATTTCTTAGCAAATCAAAATTCACTTTCGGGAAAATATTTTCGTTTCTTATTGGAACAGGATAATTTAAAAAAAAAAAAATTTCATGTGACATGTCCATAAAATTTTCACTTCTCAAGTACGCCCAGCTTCCTGCAGAATGCCAATCAAAAGCGCCCTCGTTCTTTTGTCAGCATAATATTTACAATTGTTAGCTATAGTACCCCTCAATCCCTATTTAAGTAAATTCTCTTCAACCCTGTCAAACAAGCTTTACTGCAGCACTTACTGGTCCTTCCCTCATGGTCTTTGACGGATTTTATACTGAGACCAGGTGGACAGGTCAGACGTGCTCGTGATGGGATATCATTGTCGTACACCTGGTGGAAGCCTCCCTTTGTCATCAGGTCATGATGCCCTGTACAATATTCAATAATCGTGCATTTACAAATAATACTTGACAAACGTTACTACATAATTTGTTTAATTTATCACATCCATTTTCTCAACTATTTTAAATTAACAAATGGATAAAGATTTTCACCTCCAATAATTCTTTTCTAATGTATATCTACAAAGACATACAAAGAGATCCTGTGTACTTACACTGATCTTCATGTTTGGTTGCCATTTTCCCAGCTGCATGTAACCTGTAAAAATTAAATTTGTCTATGTTAATAACTCTTTGTTATCAGTTTTAAAAGACATGATAAATTATAACTGTGTAAATTGAGACATGATAAATTATAACTGTGTAAATTGAATCCACAATAGGGTGGATACACTATTATTTGCGACTTGGAACAAAAATGTATATATCCAAAGTACCCAAACTCTGTCATACATGTATCATAGGCAGAAAAATGCAGCATTACCTTCTTAGTCCTTCTACATTATTTTTGAATTGGATGCTACTAACTTGCAACACTTAGACATGTGCTTAAATTTGGTTTTACTTCTTAGTACTGTAGATCACTATATTTTTGTGATATCTTATTTGTACATGAGGGCTATACACAAGAATTTTCACGAGCAGACTCAAGTATAATTTGGAAAAAATAAAGTTCTCGTAAACAAAAAGTGATTGAAAAGAATTGCAGTACGTTATCCGGCTTAAACAACACTATTGAATTAAACTTATATCAATTACTTTATACTACATTGTTTGAATGTATCTGAGTCACCTGGAAAATTATGTGTTTAAACAATTCTTGCTGTTTTGTTGCTTTTATTAAAGTTAATAAACATAAAAAAAATAATTTTACACATGTCAAAGATCTAGTTATGATAGCACATATAGAGAAAAAACTTAATAATTTTACAAAATATATATGGTAAATACAGTCATATACATTCAAGACTTTAAAGAATGCACAGAATTAATTTTTTTTAATTTAATTTGATTTAAACTGGTCTGTTACGTGTATTAATGACTCAACATTTCTCTGTACCTACTTCTACTAGTTCTAGATAAGTTTCAACATGCGAATAATGAGGCTATATCGATTGCATTCATTTACAAACAGAAGTTTCCTTGAAATGATGGAATTGGGTAGCAAATGAGTAAAGGGATTAGATAATTATTTCACAGAAATATAACATATTTGTATCAGGCCTATTTTCAATAGATATCTCATTTTTTTTCAAATAGATGATCATTTCTTTCAAAATCTCAACTATGCTCTTCTTATAAAGTAATGGTCTAATAATTTTTTCATAGGGCGCATAATAAGAGTAATCAAATGATCAAAAGAAATGACACCACAATGCTTATTCAAAATACATAGTTCAGTTCAGTTCAGTTCAGTTCAGTTATGGAGTTCCCTCCTATGTATAAGGAGCACCCGCGAAGGTGGTTTCATAAAAGACATAAAAATTAAAAATAAAAGAAATAAAGTGATGAAAAGACAGTTAGTAAAACCTATTCTATGTAGTGCTGTAAAAAATAAAGTTAGAGGTGATAGACAAACTCAAAATAAAAACAATAATTTACAGACTGTACAGGAGCTTAGGTTGAAATGTAAAATTGTTTAGGCCTTAAAAGTACTAAAAAATTTAACACTTGTACCGTGACTGTTTTAATAATAATACATAATTGAATCAAAATATTGAAACTTTATGCTACACGTATGTTATTCTGTAAAACTGAACACATCATGGAGCATATTTTTTCTGGTTTTATTTTAATTTGAAGTAAAAATCTGCAATAATTCAACTCAACGTGGCTACAGCAATGGGCCAACGACTGTTAAAAATGACAACATGTGCCCCCTTTGGGAAAATAAGTAACTTTTTCACCGTATGGCCTTCTCTGAGGCACCAGGGAGGGGTCAGGCTACCTATGGGAAAATCCAAATAACGACCTAATTACGAGGCTGACTTCCTCATTTTTACATCATAGGAATGTTGTATATCAATCTTTTATACGTATTCGTTGTATCCTTACCAAACAGAAACCTATTTTTGGTGTTTTATTGGCCAGTTTGGACAAAGACGAGTAGCGGTCCCATCGGTCGCCATTGCCGCATTGAATTATGGGAGTTGCCTTCACCGCTAACTCATGACGTCACGATTAAATATGTCAGCGCCCATGTGCATTGCTGAAGGGTAAACAAAAAGTTGGAAAAATCATTTTAAAATCATGCAACATAGGGATGGACAAATTTAAAACAAATGAAGCATTTGTAAAAGACGGAAAAGAATGGGAGGAGCTATCAAAAGCATCAAGAAAGAAGAGAGCTGAAGAATTCAAGCATCTTGAAGCTACTAGGAATGACACGGACCCCTGTTACAAGGTATAAATTAATAAAACTGATTAAATAGCAGTGAACAATATTCATTGTTATCTTTTAGTTTTTGTAAAATGTTAAATAGTTGATGATTCTATAAATAGATTAAATGCAATGGAGAACATTTTATTGTCAGCTTCTGAAGTCATCCTCTATTAACAGTAACAGGATCATGTGTAACAAGGGAGGAGAAAAAATGACAGACCAGATCAGGATTCGAACCCGGGACCCCCAAATCTCTAGTCACATGTTCCGTCAAGTGTTACATTCACTTCTTTCAAATGAGCATGCACCAGTGATCAAAGTTCAAACCCACGCCATTCCTCCTTCCTTAAAGGTCTTTGGCCCCAAAAGACACCAACCCAGGCTGTTCCCTGGTAAAACCGAGTGTCCAGATAGTGTTGTTGGTAGAGCATGTGACTGGAGATTCAGAGAGCCTAGATTTGAATCCCAGTCCAGTTTCTCTTCACTCGTTATATTTAGTGCTGTGGACATGCCCTGTAAGTGACAGGTGAAAGATCTTCCAGTAACAGAGAAGAGCCTGGGTAGTTGTCACTGGGGGGCAGAAAACCATTAAGAACAGAAGGAATTTGGTGTTCAGACAGGTTTAGTCACTGGTAGCCAGATAGCTCAGGTGGAAGTCAAGAGCACCTGACTGGAGATTCAGGGGCCCCATGCAGGTTTGAATTCCATTATGGTCCATGACATTTTTCTGCCAGTACAGCTTTCTGGCTATTAATGGAGATCAAACCTGTCTGGTTGCCACATTTCTAAATAAAGCCTTAGATTAAAAAAATCCTGTACCACATATTTATACATTGAGAGGGTATTTTGATGAAGGACTTTATTTGCAACTTAATCATGAAATTTAGATGCTTGTGTGAGTGTGCTCAATGTCACAGGTTATGAGTCAGAGTCCACTTGAGCCCATGGGACCCATGACAACATTGACACATCAATCCTTTTGGTGACATAGTGATACAACTTGTAACATTTGCATAGGGGTGTCATTACCCCAGTAATGTTACTATCTGCTTAGTACATTTTATGTTTAAGTTATGAAATCCCCAATTTGAATGGTGCTTCCATATGAAAGAACCAGGCACCCCATAAAATAGAATGGTTTGTCATGGATCAGAAAGCCAGGAGTGGACTCGGGACCCCTGATGTTGTGAGGAAGATCTGAAGTATAGTGTATGCAGAGAATAAGTTGTATACTATTTAACTGTTGCTGTCTGAGAACAGATTAACTCACTTTCAATAATATCATTCTGGCCAATGAAGGGCAAAGTGTTGATCAGATGCAGCCTCCAAGCATCCATAAGACTAAGCCTCAATGGATCTGCTGCAGTTGGTGGACTTCAGTACATGAATCACAGAATTCTTTATTTATATTGTAGGAGGGACAAATGGCACTAGATTGCCTGAAGAAAAATATGTACGACAGAACAAAGTGTGTGCTAGAATTTGAGAATACACGTGCCTGTAAAAAATTTTGGGTAGGAATAAAGTTAACTTACTTTCAATTCCTTTATTTATTTTTCATTTACAACTTAAATGATGGAATTTACACTTAATTAAAACCTTTTTCCCTCTTTTCAGTCAAGTTTCTCATTTAGTACATTTATATCTGTATTTCTATAAATTACAGAATAAAGTTCAGTGGCACAGGTTTTTTGCAAGAATAAAGCCCAGTATGCCCGAGAAAGAGGAATGGGAACAAGTGAAGAAGGAGTACTCAAAGTGGCTGGCTAAGTAACTGTGGATTTGGAGAGCTCAGTGATTCGTTGTGGATTTATTTATTCTATAGAAAACTATAATTGATTGTGGAGTTGGTGATAAAATCAAGATGTCTTGGATTTATACATGTGTGTGTCAACTTTTTGATATTTATGAAATCATGGTACATGTATTGTAAATAAAACTGTTATAAAATTTTAAAAGGATTGTATTATCTAAGCTGCAAAGATGTATGTATTTAATAGAATTAAGGTTCCACAAAGGGTATATTCCTTTGATGTAGTATTAAAAGACCTTTTGGCCTTGAGATCAGTAGGCTTTTTTGCCTGATTATAATGTGTTTATGAAGCAAGCATATCAATATTTCAAAAGAACATGTGATACTTTAAAATTTGTGTCCATATGAAAGTAAAAACCTCAAGTGACCTCTGAACTTTTGACTTTTAGAGTTGAGTCCTATTTCCCTTTGCAGAAAGGTATAGTCTGAACGATCCAGCACAGTTCATTTGTACATACTGTAAACAGTTTCATCTCACATTAACTGGTGGATTGGCCTTTAAGAAATAATTGCATTTCTCTGGCCAATGCTGTATAGTGGAGTAGTTAAAAAAACAACAAAACAAAAACAAGATTTGTTTGTGAAACATTGATGCCCCAGTATGGCAACATAGTGGAGATTAAACTTTTCTTAAATGCAAGTTAAATTATGTTGGTACCCAAAGTAAGGTCTCGTCACAAGAAATATAATTGTGAAATATGAAAGCCCTAGCACTAACTGTTCAAAAATTATGGCCAAGGATAAGTTTTTGAAAGGTAGGTCAAACTCCAGGGTCAAGGTCTAAGAGTCAAAGTTGTTGGTTTTAAAAAAAAATTCTTGTCACAAGGATTACATATCTAAAATATCAAAGCCATGACCCTTACCATTCAAAAGTTATAACCAAGGTTAAAGTTTTTCTGTAAGTATGCAAATCTCCAAGGTCAAGGTAAAAAAGTTAAAGTTATGGCCAAGGTTAAAGTTTTTGAAAATTGGTCAAAATCCAAGGTCAAAGGGTCAAGGTTCTTGGTATCAAATAAAAGGACTTGTTACAAGGATTAAATATTTGAAGTATGAAAGCCCTAGCCCTAACCCTTCAAAAGTTATGATCAAGGTTTGTTTTTTAAAAGAAGGTCAAACTCCAAGGTCAAAGGGTCAAAGTTCTTGGTATCCAAAGAAATATCTTCTCGCAAGGATTACATATGTGAAGTATGAAAGCCCTAGCTCTTCAAAAGTTATGGCCAAGGTTAAAGTTTTCCCAAAAGTATGGAAATCACAAAGGTCAAGGTAAAAAGGTAAAACTTGTTGGTATCCAATGAAAGATTTTGCCACAAGAAATGCATATGTGAAGTATGAAAGTCCTAGTATCTACCATTCAAAAGTTATGCCATAGTAAAAGTTTGGATTTTTTGTGTAAAATTGGGTCAAACTCCAAAGTCAAGGTCAAAAGGTCAAATTTGGTGGTACCAAATAAAAGGTGTCGTCACAAGGAATACCTATGTGAAATATGAAAATCATAGTTCCACTAAATCAAAAGTTATGGGCAAGGTTCAAATTTTTGAGGACAAACAGACAGACAGACAGACAGACAGCTAGACAGACAGACGGACGGATACGACAAAAACTATATACTCCCGAATCCTCGATTACGGGGGCATATAATACTTTGCTTTATCATAATATGCCATAAAATGGGTTTATTAAAATACAATCACGTTTTGTCATGGTGCACTTGTCGCCAGTGCTCTTTGGTAGCTAGATGAGAAGCAGACAAACGGAAGTTAGTTGTCAATGTTCAAGGTGTTACTTGGATAAGATAATTGGGCCCATGAAAATTACACCTGAGTATTTTATGATGCCAGAATACTTCTGTGACTCCTACACAGCGTGTAGTAAACTCAGATCTTTGCCCCTTTTTATACGCCCGTCTTACGACGGGACGTATTATATGTTATAGGCTTCGTGTCCGTCCGTCTGTCCGTCCGTCTGTTAGCTTTTCTCATGTCCGGCTCATAACTTTAATACTATAAGGCCTAGAGTTATCAAACTTTGTCAGCTGATACATCTTGGGTAGAAGGTGTGTCGCACACAAAAAGTAGGTCGCTCTGACCTTTAATAAAGATGCTATAGCCAAATATGGAAAAAATCCTGTCCGGCTCATAACTAGAAAACTATGAGACCTAGAGCTTTCAAACTTGGCAAAAGTATACATCTAAAGTAGAAGGTGTGTCGCAGCCTATTTCAATGTCACTGTGACCTTTAATTTAAATGGATTTTTTAAAAAACAAAGTCTTTTAAATTTTAAATTTCATAATCCTAAAAAATGTAAAAATATAGTTGTATCCTTATTAAAAAATGTTAAATTAAGTAAAAACTTATTTTTTCATTATATACTTTACAGCAATCTGTAACAAATGTTTATGCTTTGAGAGGAATTCAGTTTGTCCCATGGGCATAATCATCAAGCACTGGTCAAGAAGAATTTTGATAGCAGAAACTTGCATGTCAAATTAGAGAGAAATTAATGAGTTTATTGTCAGGAGCTAAGAGCATCTCTAGATCTGATGCAGCTGTTATCTTAATTTATCTCTTGGGAGTTGGGCAAAAAGAAATGGCCTCATAGTTGCTTGTGTTGAGTTCTTGATGGCTAGTCCAGATAAAGATCTTTCAATTGGTGTAATGTAATTAAAACAAATTGATGTTTTAGTGTATGACTAAAACTAAATTAGTATTGTATAATATAATTAAAACTAATTGTACATGTGTTCATTGAAAAAAAATATATATTTCAATTTTTATATATTTGCAACAAATTGCAGTCATGTCTCACTTAGAATTTTATAGTCTGAAGAATTATAATTTATGTTTGATTTTTTTTATGAAACTGTAGCATTCCATTATTTCATAAAATATGCAATAAACAATTAAAGTTTCAGTAAGCTGCAGATGGATATTTGTTATGCTCTAACACAACCAGTTTAGAATTATATGATGTATTTGTTATAATCAATCCCTACACTGTAAGTCTCTTAGAGATATATAATAAGAAATGGAAATTAGATCATTGAAATCTGTGTCAATCTGTTAATCAATGCTACCTGATTTTCTAGCATCCTAACCAATTTATTAATATGATTATTGAACAATATATGACGGGCGTATCATGCTGTGGCGGGGCACTTTATTAAAATTATATTAGAATTTTGCCGAAAAACTATTTTTCTTTGGTCATTTTTTCATTCCTTTTAATAAAATGGACTTTGCTCCAAGTACTGAATTTGGAAATTTAATATAACCTGCTAAAGGCACACAATGCGCCTTGTTTGGACGTCTTTTTTGCTTGAAAAGAAGTTGCATTTATTATCCGTCTTATAAAAAACAAAACAAAACAACATCAGCCTGAGTAAAACTTTGACGATCCACAAATGGTTTCAATATTTCAGTCTGGGGCGCAGTCGATTAGAAATGTTTTTAAATAAATCCTTGACAAGCAAATGAAATGAAATAAAAAAGTTATCAAATATTTTAAATGAGTGGATACAGTCCTTTCTTATATTTTGACAAAATTTGATAGCCCCCCCCCCCCCTCCCCCTGTGGCCCTCGGTTCTACAGGGCTACTACTTGTTGTACATTTTTACAGACACCACAAATTGCAGTTTTTTATATTAGGTATTTTTATATTACCGTATAATTTTTTGTTTGACGTTGATTCCTAAAATTCAACATTTTGTTTTTTATCAGAATATTTTAATTTTGGAAAGAGTAAGCCTCGCTTCTTCCCAAACCCTTTTCCATTTAAAAATTTGGCCCTACTGCTTTTTTTGGCGGCACAAATCAGTGTTGGGACTTTCAAAATCCTTTTCAATGAAATTTAGAACGATGGGAGATATATACTAGGCCTTTAAGGAATAATCCCCTCAACCTTTTTTAGCGAAATAATGAAAAGTGAGCCAGAACAGCAGATGTACACATGCAGCTAGACGTTTTGGAATATGAGGCATTTCTTTGTTCATGTGCATGTGTGTCGTTAATATTTCCTAGATTTTTCTTTGTTTGTGCTTGGAAATGATTCCACCTGACCCCAGAGCCCGTATATCGTGTATGTTAACATTTATATTTATATCCTTGTTGCTGATGCAATTGAGATTGCTGCGCATTTGTAATATTGGCTGATGTACAAGAAATGTTTAGGAACGAATCCAACTCACTCCATCAAGTTTACAACAGGGTATTCTTAAACGCCTACAAAATATGCGGGATATTTAAAAACATATCAAATTAACATATTTGTTACTGACTATTATTTACTAAAAATTCATTAGTTTTGTTTAGACTAAAGTTTTTTTTTAGCTCACCTAACTGAGAGCTCAATTAAGTGAGCTTTTCTGATCACCGTTGTCCGTCTGTAGACTTTTTTACATCTTCAACTTCTTCTCAAGAACCTGGTACACAGCATCCTTAGATAGAGTGGAGTTTAAATTGTAAAAATGAAGGGCCAAGTCCCCTTTACAAAGGGAGATAATCAAGAAAAGATAAAAATAGGTTGGGGTCATCAAAAAAATCTTCTCAAGAACTACTGCGCCGGAAAAACTGACACTTATGTGGAAGCATGCTGGGGACAGTGTAGAGTCTAAATTGTTAAAATAGTGACCCCTAGGGGTAGGGCGGGGCCACAATAGGGAATCCAAGTTTTACACTGAAATATATTGGAAAAATGTTTAAAAATCGTCTCAAGAAGCACTTGGCCAGAAAAGCTGAAACTTATGTGGAAGCATCCTGGGGGTAGTGTAGATTCTATATTGTCCAAATCATGACCCCTAGGGGTAGGATGGGGTCACAATAGGTATTACAAGTGGTGAATCTGGTAAAGAACAGCGATGTGGCCCTTGGGTCTCTTGTTTTTTTTTAAAGTAATAAAACAACAAAACTAAAGCTGTTCATATCGATCATCATCATATCTTCATTATTATATGTATCTGCGAAAGCGTAAAAGGCTTCCTAACACAAAGAAATTGACGGATTTTAGAAAGCTAATTTAAATGTTTTCCCCCAAATGCGCTAGGTTTCAGGTTGGTGTATTAAATTTGTGTATTGTGTCTTTTTGATTTATGTCTGTCTATCTACACTCATATTTAAAATAAAATGCAAAATAATCACTGAAATAAGTTTTTTTTAAACGTCATATTTCTTTGGATGGGTATTATGATAAATGTGTCTTTTGAAATACAGTGTAATAATTACACAATATACACAGAACACATCATCCTGAAACTAATTGCCTCTGCATTTCCTTAGTACTATATTCTAGAAAAATAACGTTTGTTTAAAAAGTTTTACTGCTCTTAGAACTATTATGAATAGTCGGAAAACGGTGCAGTTAGTTGCTTTGTTTACCAAGTCAGCTGACATATGTAAACATTACCACGTGCATTAGCATATTAAAGTTGACCCGACCAATCAAAAACGACCATCGAGTCGCCTTGTCCAATGGGACCTTGTAAATTTATTCGCTGCCGATCAGAATGCTCATTTCCGCATAAACATAAACATTTGCGCATTAACCAAAACACAAAGGAAGAAGACTTGAAGCAGACATATTTTTTGGAGTTAAGGATGCCCTTTTTAAGTCGAGATTGGCGATCGCCGGGAGATCAGTGGGTGCGGACAAACGAAGGATGGGAAAGGCTCAGGCTCTGGCGAATCAAAATATTCGAGCGAATGAATGAAAATATATTGGCAAGGTAGGTATAGACATACGTCACCCGTCAGTCTGACCTAGGAAACAGCTGTTTATTTTGCTCATGTACATATTTAACAGAATACTTTTCCATGGTATCAAAACCTCATTTTCCTCGATCGTTTGAAAATATTCATTTCTGTCCGTCTCTCCCTCTCTGTCATCTAAATTGAATATCCATCTTCTTAAAAATCTTTGTAGACATTTATACAAAGTCAAATCGATACATGAATTAAATATCTATAGCTTCTCATCCGGTATACTAAGCTAGAGAGATACAGTAAATTTAAATTCCTGTAACGATTCGTAGCTATAAAGCAAATTATGTTCAGTTTTCCCAGGGACCTATACACTAATGTTATAGGTCCCTGGTTTTTCCCTTACTGAATTGACAGCTATAAGTACTTGCATGCCCCCTTTTCTTCCCTTACTTAACTTTTGATATGCATCACAATTTAGCAAAAACTTTCAAATTAATGGCAAACTCAAACGCTTTAAAGGATATTCCTGCAATACTTTTAAGTTTATGTTTATAGCTTATTCATTAGATAAGAGATAGAAGGGGGAAAGGGGGGGGGTGGCAACGCACTTTGAAAAAAAATTTCAAAGTGCGTTAAAATTGGGACAAAATCAACGCACTTTGAAAAAAATTTTCAAAGTGCTTTAAATTTGGGACCAGCTCAACGCCCTTTGAAATTACATCAATATATTTTACCCTGACGACACATAACGCACTTTGAAAAAAAATATGTAAAAGCAAAAATTCTGGATTTAGATGTTAGTAATGGAAAGCTTTAATTTGTTATTTATCTTTCAAAAAACTTAATGATTTGATTTACTCCTGTCGAGAAGAGGAGAAGGTGTGCAGAAGATCTCTCAACCCAGCTCTTTATCTTTCAATACACAGGCATCGGTAACAAATAAAACGGGGGGAGGGGAGTAACAAACTGAAAAAAGGGTAAGCCGCATTTTCAATGCCTATATGATGTATACCTTTCCAAAATAAGTGGGGGGCTTAGCCCCCCTCCCCTTGCCCTTCGCCCGGTTCCGATTCCCAAAACATACATAACTATTATGACGTTGAAAACTTTCAATAAATGGATTAACTTAAACCACATGAAAACTAGAAATTTTTAAGTACAGTAAAAGGTATGAGAGAGAAAGAATTTTGATAGTTTTGAAAAATCAAATTGCCCCTTTTTCTTAAGATAAATGCTATTTTTTAGGTCATTAACTTTTAGCCCCCCCCCCCCTACACTGTACATCTGCTTATTACAGACTAGAATTTTAAAAAAGAAACGAAATAATGAAATTAAACAATCATCACTGTATTTTATGTAAAAGACCCATTTCCCTTTAATAACATTTATCAAAACCTAAAATATTTAAAACATCAATACTAGTACCTCAGGTCCTGAAGTTACCTTATCATAAAAAAAGTTATCCAACCAGGGTCAATTATTTATCATACCGATTATTTTTTTTTTCAAAGTGCATTAATATAGTCGATATTAACGCACTTTAAAAAGAAATTTAATTTTTTCAAAGTGCGTCAGCTTGGTCGCAAATTTAATGCACTTTGAAAATTTTTTTCAAAGTGCGTAATTTTTCAAAGTGCGTTGTAACAGGGGTGTCAGGAGTTCCAAAGATGTAATTCTAAACAATTTGCTTCTAATTAAATAAAAACATTTTTTTATTTAGCACATTCATTGATTTATGTAATAATTGTCAGAGAAAGAAGATAATAAATCACTGTGATTTTGGCGGTTGATTTCTTTCTTTCTTTCCCATTCTCATTAGTTAAAAAAATTAAAAGTTAAAAAAAATAAATTACTTGCAGAATTGAAATCTGACACAGGAGCCAGACGTTTTTCAATATACCTCCCTCATCAGGCCCATAAGACAAATTCCGGTTAAGGGAAGGGGCACAACCAAACATTTTCAGATAGCGCATAACAAACCACAATTCTCGACAAGCAAGAAAAGTCGTCAGAAGTAACTTATTTTCATTGAGGGGGCACCTGTGGATTTAGACATTAAGTAATCAGAGGTTCTAATATTTTAGGGGGTACATTGTTTCTTCGAATTTACTATACACAAAGGGGGGTGGGGTGTTTTATCTATATAATACATAGCGTGCATGTCTTTCCTATGAAATTACAAGCTTTAACATGGTCTTGAAAATGAAGTATTTTGCTTGATTTCAGGTTGCTGCGACTTGCTGTCATTGAGCAAGATGACACGTGGCATAAGCATCAACCTCACATTCACTACATCAAAGGGATTTCAAAGGAGGTACTTTATTTAAAAAAGTGATTTTAAAAAATGTGTAAAATTGTATTTGCACGTTTCTAGCGATTCCTGTGTCCCCCCTCCCCTCCTAACATATTACGAAATAATATTTGTGTATTTGACCTGAACTGGAAAATAAATACAGTATGAATTTTTTTAAAATTTTGTAGAGGAAGGTTATGACGAGCCTGAGTGAAGCGTTTGTTCACTTGGACATGACAGGAGCCACACGGGACCTCCGCCGATTTAATTACGTCAGGAAGGTACGGAAACAAATAAACTGTTTATCTCCAAAAATGATTCCTGTTTACCACTAAAGTTAACTGTCACTTCATGTATAATTAAAAAGCATTGATTTTCTGGGTATTTGTTGCAAACAGCTGATGGCATCCGATTGACTGTTGTAAATGATGACTGATCGTGATTTCCTTCTTGTAGCTCATGTTTCTGCTGCTTAACAGGAACTTTCGATACCTGAGTGGGACGTCACAGAAAAACATCATTAACATCTTGGAGGAAATGACAAATCAAGGTACACTAACTACCTGGAAGTGTTAATTATATCCTAAGGGGAATTTGAAAGAATAATAAACAATCGGCTGATTTAGTCATTTCAATTTACACCTTTACGTAGTGATCAAACAATTTAATTTTATCACGTATATGTATATACCCAGTATTCCGAACCTGCATTTTTTACCCCTCCCCACAGCTGGGAGGAGACAATTAGTTTTTGGCAAGTCTGGGGCATAATTTGAATTAAAAACTTGAGTTTTTTTCCATGGCTTAATGATCTTATATGATATCTGGTATCATTTTTTCCTTTCATTTCCACATTTATAAACTGGTATTCATTTGTTGTTGTTTTTTTTCTTTCTTTTTCACTCTTCACTCATGTATTTTTCTTTCCCCTATAATCCATTCAAATTTGTGTTAGCTATATATAATTTATTGGTCATATATAAACCTGTTGTTATATGTGTATTAATTAACCTTGTACCTATGGAGAGGGCTTATATAGGCTATGCCTGCTGCCTAATCAATTTATGTATTTGCATGATAAAATATGTTCAAATCAAAATATCTGGTAGGCAGGATAAAAGACTTTTAAACAAATTTAAAATAAACATGTTCATTAGCAATAACATACATCAATCTGAAAATAAATCAATACAATATAATAATTGAACTTAAACTTAATTTTCTAGTGCTGAGAACTGAGATAAATGTACCAGCCATGAAGTCCCTGTTGAATTGTGCTGTGAACATACTGACAGATGGACAGTATTCTCACATTGGTAGTGAATGCTTGTGGAACAAACACCAGGCAGCAGTGTCCAGAATGATCTCCAAGCTAGACAAGTACAAGCTGAAACAGGTCAGTCTCTACACAGAATAATGTCCAAGCTTGGTAAATACAAGCTCAAACAGGCCAGTCTCTAGACAGAATGATCTCCAAGCTAGACAAGTACAAGCTGAAACAGGTCAGTCTCTTGACAGAATAATGTCCAAGCTTGGTAAATACCAGCTGAAATAGGTCAGTCTCTAGACAGAATGATCTCCAAGCTAGGTAAATACCAGCTCAAACAGGTCAGTCTCTAGACAGAATGATCTCCAAGCTAGGTAAATACCAGCTCAAACAGGTCAGTCTCTAGACAGAATGATCTCCAAGCTTGGTAAATACAAGCTGAAACAGGTCAGTCTCTAGACAGAATGATCTCCAAGCTAGATAAATACCAGCTCATACAGGTCAGTCTCAGACAGAATGATCTCCAAGCTTGGTAAATATTATCTCAAACAGTTCAGTCTCTAGACAGAATGATCTCCAAACTTGGTAAATACAAGCTGAAACAGATCAGTCTCTAAACAGAATGATCTCCAAGCTTGGTAAATACCAGCTTAAACAGGTCAGTCTCTAGATAGAATGATCTCCAAGCTTGGTAAATACCAGCTCAAAAAGGCCAGTTTCTAGATAGAATGATTTCCAAGCTAGGTAAATACCTGCTCAAACAGGCCAGTCCTCAGACAGAAAGATCCAGTTTAATGAATGGACAGAATGATCTCCAAGCTGAAAAAATACATGCTACACATGTGGGTTTTCAGACAGAATGACATCCAAGTTAGACACCACCTTTAACAGGTTATACTCTACATAGTATGATCTCAAAGCTGGACAAATACCAGCTCCAACAGGTCAGGCTCTAGATAGTATGATCTCCATACTGAACAAATACCAGCTCAAACAGGTCAGACTCTAGATAGTATGATCTCCAAGCTGAACAAATACCAGCTCAAACAGGTCAGACTCTAGATAGTATGATCTCCAAGCTGAACAAATACCAGCTCAAACAGGTCAGACTCTAGATAGTATGATCTCCAAGCTGAACAAATACCAGCTCAAACAGGTCAGACTCTAGATAGTATGATCTCCATCCTGAACAAATACCAGCTCAAACAGGTCAGACTCTAGATAGTATGATCTCCAAGCTAGACAAATACCAGCTCCAACAGGTCAGGCTCTAGATAGTATGATCTCCATCCTGAACAAATACCAGCTCAAACAGGTCAGACTCTAGATAGTATGATCTCCAAGATGGACAAGTACCAGTTCAAACAGGTGAGGCTCTAGATAGTGTGATCTCCAAGCTGGACAAATACCAGCTCAAACAGGTCAGGCTCTAGATAGTATGATCTCCAAGCTGGACAAATACCAGCTCCAACAGGTCAGGCTCTAGATAGTATGATCTCCATCCTGAACAAATACCAGCTCAAACAGGTCAGACTCTAGATAGTATGATCTCCAAGCTGGACAAATACCAGCTCAAACAGGTCAGACTCTAGATAGTATGATCTCCAAGCTGGACAAATACCAGCTCAAAGAGACATATCTCAAGTCAGGTATGATTAACGACGTTCGATCCTGATATTTAAAGTCTTAAACTTTTTTTGCCAAGTATATTTTTAGTTTCTACATACATAGATTAATTAAAATTCAAATCAAAAAATGGGGGTCAATATGCTTCTTTTGGCGCTAAAGTACATTTAATATGACCTTTTTACACTTAAATTTTGTTTTAATTAAAAATTACATCTTCGACATTTTCCCTCCAACATTCTTATCCAATTAAAGCATGAAACAAAATGAACTCGAAGTCTGTTTAAAAAAAGACACTTTAAAATTGTGACTAAAAAAAATTTCAAATTGCTTCGCAAAATCAATTATTTGACCTTTCTGCACTAATAAAATGTGATTTTTCTGGTATTGAAAATTTAATAAGCAAGAAAATTATTTTAAAGTCTTAAACTTTTTCTGATTTTAAGCAAACAGGTCAAAGTTATCTTGAATATTTAGAAACGAACATTAAAAGTGGGAGTATATGATGTAAATTTTCAGATATTACTAAAAAAATATCAATTTAACGTTAAAATTGGCTCATTTTTTCCCGAATTTTCAGAATATATATACTATATTTGTCACACTTTGTCGATAGAATTCATAAGAAATAATTTAACAGATAATTCAGAACTAGCATAACACATATCACTGCAAAAACAGCTTTGTATGCAACCAGCAGGGAAAAATAGGAAGCCAAAATTAACAGTACTGTTATATTTCAAAAGGGAAAAACTGATCATTTTCGTCTAAAAAACCTTCCGCCACAAAATATAGTCCCTAGTTTAATTCTACTTGAATGGAATTTATTCGCAGTTTTTCCATTGAATATAGTTCAGTTTGCATTGTAGAATTCATATTTTATGCTCGAACTTATAAATGATGCAGAATTTTATAAATAAAGGACATGACCAAAATCCACTCAAAATCTCAGGATCGAACGTCCTTAAGGCAGAATGATCTCCAAGTTGGACAAATACAAGCTCAAACAGGTCAGTGTCTATACAGTATGATCTCCAAGCTTGGTAAATACCAGCTCAAACAGGCCAGTCTTCAGACAAAATGCTCTCCAACCTACATATATAACAGCTCAACCAGGTCAGTCTCTGGACAGTATTATCCCCAAGCTGGACAAACACCAGCTATATGAGGTCAGACTTTGAATAGTATGATCTCCAAGCTGGACAAAAACCAGCTCAAAGAGATACGTCAATGGACAGGTATAACACAGATAAATAAACAAATACCAGCTGAAACAGGTCAGTCTCTAGACAGAATGATCTCCAAGCTTGGTAAATACCAGCTCAAAAAGGCCAGTCTCTAGACAGAATGATCTCCAAGCTTGGTAAATACCAGCTCAAAAAGGCCAGTCTCTAGACAGAATGATCCCCAAGCTTGGTAAATACCAGCTGAAACAGGTCAGTCTCTAGACAGAATGATCTCCAAGCTTGGTAAATACCAGCTCATGCAAACAGGTCAGTCTCTAGACAGAATGATCTCCAAGCTTGGTAAATACCAGCTCATGCAAACAGGTCAGTCTCTAGACAGAATGATCTCCAAGCTTGGTAAATACCAGCTCATGCAAACAGGTCAGTCTCTAGACAGAATGATCTCCAAGCTTGATAAATACCAGCTCAAATAGATCAGTCTCTCTATATATTATAGTTTCCAAGCTTGACAATTAATAGCTCAAACAGCTTATTCTCTAGACATAATGATGTCCAAGCTAGACAAATATTAGATAGTTTGATCCCAAGCTGGAGAAATACCAGGTATAATACAGACAGATCAATCTCCAGTCCAGGCTAGAGAAATACCAGCTCAAACAGCTAAGTCTCTAGACAAAATGATTTCCAAGCTAGACAAATATCAGCTCAAATATGACAGTCTACAGAAAGATTGATATAGTGAATATGTCAAACAGGTCAGTTAGGAAACTGGCATTTAATGACAGAGTATAGGAGTTGTCTCTCTTGTATCAAGTGCATGTATTCCATCTTCATGAAGGCTCTCCAAGAGTGTTTAATATCAATTGATTTGTAATAAGTTAAAATAAATGAAAGTATGCACTATGCATAAAGTGAAAAGGAACATTTACCAAGCTCTGGAGTCTGTTAAGTGCTATATTGTCTTCTCAGAGGTACACTTCATTTTCAGAGACAGGCCGATGGGAAGCCGCTGTTTGAAGATTTACCAGAGGATTGTCTGAGGTGTATCTTCAGAAAACTCTCAGACCACACTGACATCATACACACAGGCCAGGCAAACCTAGCCAATCATAAGGTCTCATCACAGATGTTGCTATGGAAACAGCTCTGTTTTTTCCACTTCAGTGATCACCAGCTTCTAGTCTTCTTGCCACAAGAGCTTGGTCAGGATGAGAATAAAATCAACTGGAAGTACATCTACAGACGCTGCTACAAGTAAGTAACACCATAAATCAACATGATTCTACCCTCCTGATGGAAAAAGTTACTGAGGAGAGAGAGAGGGAGAGAGATCCAGTGGCAAATTTTCTAATTGTCTCAATCTCTTTGTAGGCGTTTCGGGATGAAAGATATTTTCACAGACCACCTGGCAATATGTTGTCACTGTGACACACTTTTCTGGCAGGTAAGGAGCTAAAAAGTTAAACAGAAGAGTTATTGTTCTGGAAAGATTATTAGGCATTGTGTCCACGCATTTTGAATAAAATTGAGAATGAAAACAATTATGTAATATTCAAGAGGAATATTAAATGATAAAGACAGATGAACATTTATAATAATTGAATTGAGAATCGAAACAGAGAATTAATGTCAATGCCATGTTTTTTTTGAGTTTTTTAAAGGAACAATAAAGAATTTTAAAAACGTTGTTTTGTTTCAGTCCATTGGGCATCCATGCTTCAGTGACTCTGAGGGAAAGTCCAGACCTCTCTCCCCAGAAGCATTTTTAGACCTGTTTTTGCTGTAGAAGGCATTTTATCTCGGATTTAGGACCTATTTGGTCATGAATTACGAGGGATCCTGTAGTTCAGCAGTATTTTGCAGAGGACAATATAGATCTGATTTATTTGTCACTGCCAAAGGAAAAAAAGGATCTGCTAAAATAACCAGGTACATAAGGCCCTGGAAAGAAATCACAAAAAATTAAAGACACATTATCAAATAAAGTCTATAGAATTTGTGCAATCCTCATCAATAAAAAAACATTTCAAGCAATCGATTATTCAAGACATGCCTTTTCTGATGTACGTTCAAGTGTTTCTAGACCCTTTTTATAGTTTCTGGGTTTGACTTGACTTATTTTTTTTCTGGCTGGTTTTGATCATGCCATTTTTTCTAGTCTACAAAGGGAAGAAGATACAAACACAGATGCTTGAATATTTAACCTTTCTTTTTATAATTAAAAAAATCCCATACTATGACTTAATTTTGGGGAACTTTTTAGTTATGAAAAGAAAGGTTAAAAACATTAAGTGCCTGTGGATACAAGTTGTATATATAGTCTGTATATAAAACTGGGAGAATATTTATGTTTTGTAAGGTTTGATAGGGAGGAAAAGTTTACGTGTGTATTGTCTTTCAGAGTTCTTGAAGATATGTAAATGATATTTAAATACTGTAAATGTATATAATATTATTATGAGTGATTTGTACATAGTTTATTCTGTTGTCAACATTTTTGTCAGTTCAATGCATTTTTTTCGTGTTGATTTTGTATTTTTATTGATTTACTGAGTGCTTTCAAATATTTTTCATTTCAGAGGTATTGTTTGTACATGATGTGTATATATTGTATTTGATTTAGTGCAATTCTTAGATAATAACTATAGTGTTTGTATTGACTTGTAAGTCCCACCTCCCCCTAAAAGTGCAGATTCAATAATGGATCCAGAATTTAAACCCATAACTTTATGAGAATAACATTTTTCATTGACAATTTTAAAGATATTATCTAAAATAGAAAAAAAGTCCTTTTTTATAGATGTTATTCTGTTAAAAGTTTAAATTCCAGAGTTTATTTAAATTCAAGGTAATGTGCCAAAACATAGTGAATTTAGATGATATAAAAAATAAAACCTAATTTTTGTCAGAATATTAAATTTTTATTGTAAAATGTTTTTAAAAAACAATATCTGTAAAGGAATGGAATCTCTATAACATTTTTTAAAGAATGAAAATTTATATAATTTCATTTCATGAATTGTTGAGTGCTTACTATTTTGCACTTTGTTGGGCTAAAAATCACGCAGGTGTCTGTAGGACTAGGGCAAACTGAGTAAGAAAATGTAAAAGTAGAATCATATGTAAATGTAGATATGTTTTTTTAAAAAAAAAATTATTAAATCTTATGTATATGTGTTGTTGATATTCCCTAAATGTCTTTACAAGTGTTTTTCTTGCAAATATTTTTTCGGAAAACTGAGAAAAGCCAATCTAAAATTAAAGGATTATAAAAAAAAAACACTTTGTTTCAAAATTCTTTTCTTTTTCAAGCACCATTTAACAAAGTCAATCATTAATCAAACATTTAACAAAGTCAGGAATCTTAGTAATTACATGTACTGTGGAATCATTTCAATTCGTCGGACCAATGTTCATGCTTAAACAAAATCTTGTTGGTTCGTGGTATCATAATTTCGTGTTTAACTGGTATATACAAAAGATTCAATGGATAGATGTGTTGACAAAGTAATACTTCATTTGGATGTTGATTCACGGATAAGGGTGACCCACTAACATTGCTCTCCCTCCAAACAACGATGTTTCCACAGTAACCTATTGTCTATACTAGTAGTTGTTCCTCTCTCAGTTGTGGCTATTGTTTGGATCAGGGGATATCTTTTATGTGAGTTGAAGTTGGATTTTACGCCCTGTCGTTTCAAAATACATAGTATATTTTCCTCATTTGGATTCAGGAGATTTTTAAAAGATTGTGTGCAAAATGCAGGTTCCAGTAAATGTTCTACAAAGCACCTTTCTTTACTCCTCACTAAAATATTAACGGTAGTGAAGGAGAAACTTGAGGTGTACTAGTACTGTACAATAAATTCAAGAAGTGGAGTACATAGTGTAAATCAGATTCTTACAAACTCCAGGGAATTTTTAAAGAAAACTGAGTCCACAAAATTTAACCTAAAACAAAAACCTCAAAACGTACGACATTTCAACATTTTATAAAGCCCTTCTCCACGACTTTAAGTCCAGGCTTTTTGATGCAGACAGCTGCTTACTTGCTTACCTTGTCATTGGTAATTTGCAAAAATATTTTGTTAAAAAATTCTGATTGTAGACGTAAGTACTCTTAAGTTGATATTAAAAAGATGCTTGAGTTTCTGATTGACAGTGTCTAATTACGGAGATCAGGTTTTCCAACAATTTGACAAAAATCCCATGGGTAGCAAGTGCGCCCCATTATTAGTAATCATATTTTTGTATTCATAGCAGAATTTGTTTAAAATCTTACAAACGAGAAAAAAAACTTGCTTTGGCCTTCAACTCGACGTTTAGTTAAATTGATGACATAGTATCAATTAACGATAATTAATTTTATTCAATTGTGGACTTAAACCAAGGGTATATCCCAAAGAACTTGAAATGAAAGATACCACAGAGTGACACGTCCATTTTATATTTGAATATTATATTAGAAAAGGACGTTAATGGTTACCTTAACAAAACCTTTTGAGAAATATAGGAACACTTCAACCACATTAACCTATCTCTCTCGAAAGGGACGTAAAACAACACACACACATAACTGCAATGATGTAGCCCACTCCGATTTTAATTTTTTTTTCATCTGATGTTCTCTGGACTCTCCCTCAAAAAGGGGGAGAGGGCTACATTATTGCAGCTAACATACACACTTTTCTGTCGTCAACTTCCCTTACTTGTGTTTTGTATCAATATACCTTCATCATCTGCATATGGCGTTTTATGTCTCCCAGATGATTCGATATACAAGAGCATGCTCTAACTGACAAACTGAAACGCGGCAAGCTATTGACAAACAAGGGGATGAAACAAGGATATCAACAGTTTCTTTTTAAGCAATCACTCCACAAGTTCTATGATCGATACCATTACTTCGTTAGTAAGTAAAATCTATATCATTTAATCGAATGCTGACATTTTTTCATGCTTATCGTTTGGGCCATTGTATACATACTAATTTATCTACGGATTTTCCGTTTATCCAAGGTCACGGCGGGTGTGTAGGAACTTATCTTGTGGGATATTTGAACGTTGTGGTAGGTCTCTAATTTCCATTTCATCAATAACGATCTACAGAATGAGAAAGCATTTTCATGAATAGATGCAAAAAGACAACAGCAAAAAAATAAAACCCGAATCAGTTATGAAGTACAGATGCACAATCCACGCACTGTGACAATGCACGATTTCGGTTCATGTTTCACAGAATAAGCTAATGTCGCAGAACGGAATCCTTGTATATAATTGAAATTCTGGCTTATGCCATTTCCCATGAATTGGCTTTTATTATGAAATATTTAAAATACATTTCTTTTTGCATTGGCCTATATTTTGCCTACGTTTTACAAACGTGCGCTTTCGGTTTGAGATGAAAAAAAGTCCTTGATTAAGTGACACGTAAATCTCTTCCTGTCTTTGATCTTCAGAATTCGTCAAAATCTGCAATGAATACTAATGATGCGTGAGTTTATCACTGTTTGCTTTCAAAAAACAGAGAAAGACCCATCGTGTAAAGCTACCTGGCTTAGAAATCAATTTCTACAATTATTTATTGGTTAAAGAGGCTGACATATTAATGGTTAACCTAAAAGGGACAGTGATCCGAACCTTCACGCGTATTAATTTCCTTAGCTCGAAAGTCGGCACTTAATACACGATTTATTGGTCTTCAGTTTGAATTTCTTTCCTTTTTCCAATTTATGATGAATCTGTTCTAACGTGACTCTTTTAATTCTTGATAAAAGGTGAAAGCTTCTAAAAGAGGTAACCAATAATTCAATGACCTTGTAAATTTATTTTTGAAATACTCTGTTTATAAGAAGTTTATTACAATTTCTTTCAAAATACATGAATGTGTATGCCCGATCTTGATTGGAACGACTTTTCAGCAGTTGCTCCATCCTTTCCTCTATCAAGTAATACTAATATTACCACAGACAGATTGGAACTTAATTAATCCATATTGCCAGAATTTTGGCAAAAAACTGAACTTGCCCTCTATACTCGGTAAAACTTTTGGGTGTATTATTTTTGATAAAGAATTTTTCAATTCAATAATTAAAACGAAATCACTCGAATTATTGACTAGTTATTTTACTTTCTGTTGTCATAAAGATATTTTAGATTATTCTTATAATGCACGGTTTTATTATGTGTGATTTCTTTAAAGTTAATATTAGTGTAGGACCCCAACATTTTTCTTTACTGATGACTTTAACTTTTCAATGAAACGTATAGAGATAACGAACAATATTCAAGATCAAAAGTCCATAAAACAATACAAAATAGGAACAGAGCAAACAGGACCTCAAAACATCAGAGTTGGGGTCAGGGGCCATGGAGAAGTAAATATGCCCTGCCGACCGGTCACACCCACCGTGTGCTCTTTGTCATAATCGGGAAATAACAAAAATCTGTCGCCATTTCAGTGTATAAATAAATATAAATAACAGTTGATATGGAAAACGTCGGTCAGCATTTGACTCATTGATAAATTGTATTTGCTGACAAGGTCATTGTATCGACCATAGAACTTACACAATGATGACGTTAAACGAGACTGTTGATATTCTTGTTTCATCAATTTGTTTGCCAATAATTTACCTCGTTTTAGCATGCTTTACTGAGATATATAAATTCCGTATGCATATGATGAAGGCATATTGCTGCATAAGTAAGGGAAGGTGACAATAGTAAAGTAAAAATCATCACGTTTTATCATAGAGCTTGCATGGTCGTTAGATTACCATAAAGTCTTTTTCAAGTACAATATCCAGATATGAAACAGATCTGTCTACCTCTGTGGTATCTTTTATCTGAAGCTCACTGGTATATATCATATCGACATAAGAACGAAAATTACCATTGTTAATTGACAATACGTTGTCTCTAGCTGAAGACCATAGCAAGTGTTTTTTTTTTCTTTTCTCGTATAACATTTTGACCAAATTCTGCTTCATATGAATACAAAAATAGGTCTGCTCAGAACGGGGCGCAATTGGTACCAATGGGAATTCAAATAGATTGTTGGAAGACCTGGTCTTTAAAAACCACATAGATATTGTCAATCAGTTCAAGTATCTTTTTGATGCCGTTTTGTGTACAATAAGAATGTTGTTTAACAAAATAATTTTGCAAATGACCAATGACAAGGTAGGTACATTTACGAGTTCTATTTTAATTGAAAAAACAGCTGTCAATGATATAAAAAAAGACTGGACTTTAATTTATCATGGGGAATGGTTGTGTATAAAGTTGAAAATTCGTAAGTTCTTTAGCTGTTAATTTTGCTAAAATCTTGTGATTACAAATAGTCCAAAAGTTCCTTGGAATTTTTAAGTATCCACATCTTATTTACACCACTTCTTGAATATATTGTTGCACAGTATTCTTAAAGTTTCTTCTTCACTACTGTTAATATCTTAAGTATATAAATATAAAGAAAGAGGCTTGGTTGAGCATTTACTTGAACTTGCTATATGAATCTTTGTTTGTAAGGATTTTTAGCTGGGCTTTGCTGAAAGAAAATTACTAGCTTTAGGCATCATGTATTACTATAGATAGCACAGTAAACAAAAAAAAAAAAAACAAACAGCGTCAAATCAGACGCTTCCGATAAACAAAACAGTCCCATTCCAAATGGTTGGAAAAAATTAATGATTAATATTTTTGCTTGAGAATTAAAATGAAAGTATTCAATAGCGCGGGCCTTTTGAAATGTTGAAATTGTTGAAGAGTTTCATGTTTCATATCGTTTTCGTCGATGTTATGTTAGTGGTTATATTCTGTTTTGATTTTTAGCAAATTAATAGTATAGTGAATTGGAATTTTAAGAATTAACATGAAGTCGCCTGTCAATGTACATGTATCAGTGTCTCTACTTGTAGTTG